TTAAAAGAGAAGACATTCCTCATAGGAATCAGTGCGCACGTTGCCTGTATCTAATGATCACCTACTGACCACACTGACAGCAATCATGAGTATTTGAGGTATAAATACTCATCACTAAAGGCAAGGGAAATGAGGTGAAACTTTTGCTACAAATTATACTCAGTGTTTTCTTCTTCCTCTCTCTCAAAAACTGATTTGATCGTCGGAGGGGATACGCCGGAAAACACTCCGGCGCCCTTCTAACTTGTTCTTCTTTGTTCTAGGAACCTTTCTTCAGCTTTACTGGATCGTTCTTTTGATCCACGAGGGTCCCCCATTACCGTCCTAGGTTACCACCGGATCTCACTGGCTGTTCCAAGCAGCGTGGTTGACCACTCAACTGATTCACTCGAATTCACCAAGGGAGATATCTGTTCTCGTTTTTATATTGTGCGAGATCTAGCGCGCACAAATACCAAGAGAANCATTACCGTTTCAGGTTACCACCGGACCTCATAGGCTGTTCCAAGCAGCAGGGTTGACCACTCGACTAACTCACTCGAGTTCACCAAGGGAGAGATCTGTTCTCGTGTTTATATTGTGCAAGATCCAGCACGCACAGATTGATTTATGAAAATTATAGTTAATTAATTTAAGCATGGAATAACTAGTTATTTGACTCTCAAGGAATTTCAAATATTCAATTACATGACATAGCGAATCAAAAAATTATACAAAACAAAAAATTACTAAAATACAAGAATTAAGTTAAAAGAATAAATCATGCATTAAACGAATATTGAATCAAAAATAATGCAGTGCTTCATTGAAAGTTTCTCTCCTAACTTTAATTGGACTTTTAATAAGCCATAAGAAAAATATACCAAAAACTAGAAAAGGAAAAGCTGTGAAAAAAAATGATCTCTCAATAGGTGAGAGGTTTTATTTATACAAATGTGTTGGTATAGGTATGAGGTTTATGGTTGGCTTGAGAGAAATTCCTTTTAAAAAAGAATTCTTTTTAGGTTAAATCTCGTGGATAAAATTTTTGGGGGGCACAAGTACTATATCTGCTCAAACTTCGAACTCAATTTTCGCATAGTTAGAAGTTGATTCACGAAATTTTCATCAAATACATTTTTGTAATTCTTGAAATCTTCTTTCCAACATCGCAAAAGTCAAGTAAATCGAATATCAGGATAAAAAACTATGACTAAAATATTAAAGACGTATAAAAACTTTATCTTCTAGAATATTTTTCTAATCCAACTTTAAATGAGTTTTACGTTGACTCTCATAAGGGTTAAATTGTTACATTATCTTCATATCTTAATTTTGACTCTTCAATTTTTATTAAATGTGTTTCCTCTATAGTGTGGTCTTATCCATTATTACTTTAAATCAATCGAATTACCTGCAAAATAAATCAAACAGTTAAAAAAAGTATCAAACTAAAAAATCAAGAAGTTTAACACATTTAATTACAAATAATATGCAATAAACTAATTATTAAATATAATAAAATAACCCATTTGATGGTTAATCAATGAATAATTTAGCCCGATGACATTTCATACAGATATAAAATAACAATTCAAATGGTAACTCAAGTTATAACAAAGACAAGTTGTAAACTCAAATGTTCTAAGTTCGAATCTTGGCAACTCATTGGGGCCAAGACCACGAGGGATTTATCCTTATGAATACCTTAATTTTGACGTGGATGATCTGCCTTTAACCTGACTAGATTGAAAAATATATTAGTTAAGGTACATGTAAGCTAACTCAAACATCCATAACTATTGAACAATAAATAAATAAAATAACGATTTTCTCTCATGTGAATTGAGTTTTTCATATATGACACTACCCGACCATCAATTATTTTTGTTAGTAGATTGTGTCATTGTTGAATTAGTTTTGTGTTGAGTATGAACCGTCTTATGTGCCATGTCAAAAAAATATATAATTTTTTTAATAAAAGATGGCTCAAACTCAGTTTAAGATCAATTATATTAATTCCATTATATAAAGTTTTGAGGCTAGCCTTCAAGCAGGTTTATTTCGGTGTTAAATTGTCCAGTGTGTGTGGTGACCTCGAAGTCCTGAATATCTCTACAGTAGAGAAGGAAAAAATTCAAAAAAAAAAAATGATATTTCTACCTAATGTCATCGAGGGGTTGGACCAAATGATTCATATTGGGTTTGTTTAACGGTGCCCAATAAGCACTTTTTAATGTTGGAGTTGTGTGGGGTAACTGACTAGAGCGATTTAGAGCAGACTCACTCGCTTATCTAAATACGTTTCCGACCATGCTGCCCCATTCTCTCATCTCTGTACCTCTCTCCCACTTTCTCTTTCTCTCGTTTTCCCTAAATTTTCTGTCATTTAGTAATTGCTTAATTGGTGCTGCCATTGAGATTGGGCATGACAATAGATCATATCATGTTGTGTGAAAATTTATTTATATCATCTCAGACTCCTTTATAATCTTTTACAATAGGGGTTTATGTTGTTTCGATTTGTTCCGTTCTATATTTAGCTTGTTTATATTGTGTTTAATATGATTTATGTTCATCAATTTATTTAACGGATTTTATGGATCCTTTTATTTACCAGACAAAACCGTTTAGACTAAACTCAAATCTACTATTTTTAGTGTCGATTACATGTCCAACCAGCTAATCTTCATTAAAATTGTCAGCCATAACTAAGGTACTACTTAGCATTTACCTTTTTTTAATACTATCTTTGGTCATCTTGCTTATTTATCTTGGAAGTCATGACTTTCATCAAGTTAATTTTTTGTCTTCTAAATGATCTCACCTCATCCCTACGTGGGATAGATGACGTTTGGAACCCTCATTGCAAATTTTATATGGGGATATTCACAAGGAATACAAAGGATGATTGTGGATCAATACAAGATCAAGAAGAATAGACTGCACTAGAATGAAGCTTGGGTTGACAGTGTCCCTATCACTTCTACTTCCAGTAGTTTAATAAGAATGTAACAATTATAAGAAAATAACTTCTTGAGAACTATGATAGATTAAGAAAGAATGATTTATTTACAACAAATTGATGTCAATGAAAAAAAATAGTAGACATAAGTTTACGCATAAGAAAACAGTAGATAGATAAAGATACCGAAAAACAGTCACAAATGTCTCTTGCCCAAAAAGGAAAAATCAGCTTACTCAAGGTATTACTGAATAATTTCAATGCCAGGTGGAGAACAGAAAGTACCAGATTGACATAAAAGACATGGTCAAGATACAAAAGTTGGGCTGAGGTGCATTCTCAGGAAAGCTAAAAAAAATTCTGAGCGGTAGATAATTGTATATTCACAGAGAGAACACAAAATAAGCCTCCTCCTAGCCTCACCGGAAACTAAGGAAGGTGTTAGATGACTGCACATGCACAGACTAGTAGCATCATCGTCTTCTAGTCAAGTACCTAGTCTTCACATATTCAGAACTCCTTGGGGCAACACTATCCGCTAGACATCTTTTCCGACAACCTTTGGAATAAGAGGTCTCTGAAGGCTCATCTTCATCAGTATCCACTTCTGTAAAGCCTGATCTGGTCTGCACAGCAATACGCCTTGGAATGTATACATTGAAGTAGTAGCTCACTATACTTTCTCTAAAATGGGAAAGAAAGCACTCCAAGGCTGGATTCAGAAAGGTTTTACCCTGTGATATGGGATTTGTTTTGACAAGAAGAGCAAACTTTTTCTGCTCATCCAAATTCCACAACTTGGAAACAGATTCTCCCATCATGTCAAATTTCCATTTCCAGAAGACGGTTCCTNTGATATGGGATTTGTTTTGACAAGAAGAGCAAACTTTTTCTGCTCATCCAAATTCCATAACTTGGAAACAGATTCTCCCATCATGTCAAATTTCCATTTCCAGAAGACGGTTCCTAGATCATACTCTAGCTCGCTCCTTTTGTCAATAACATGCCGTCTAACACATTCTATAGATCCGGGAGTGATGCATGAACAAAAGTCAGGTCTTCCTCTTCCAATAGCATTACAATTTGTTTCTGGGCAGCTTCCTCTGACTGGCCATATTCGGGTGCCCAGCCACCTTGAAGTTTCTAATTCACTGTCACCCACATGGCCATTCCAATTGGGCACATCAGCTTGAAAACGGGGCCCGACAGGAATCGCCAATTTGACACTGTCTTCAGTGATGAATTCTAACCAGTTTATTGATACTGGCTTTTTAAATATTTGAATATTCACTGGCTTTGACTTCTGCATATCTAATGAGTTTGGTTACTGGGAGTTACTAAAACAGAGAGGAAGATCGTACCCAAGTGGCTACCACCCGACAACTTTGGATCTTTAGCTAGTGTATTTGAACTAAATCTCTGAGAGAACTCAGTGTTCTGTGAGGATGCCAATTGGACCCCGTAGAAACTTACGAATGCAAAGGATTAGTGAAATGAATGGAACATCATCCTATCATCAGCTCAGTGGTGCTTTCCTTTATAAAATTCATCCAAGTTGAAGATGATTCAGACATCATATCCCCTGAGACAACTGATCAATTTTGTGTTTTTCCTGAGAAAATAAAGAAAGTTAAAGGTGAATCTTGATGGGAATAGCTTATTAGATCAGATAGACATAAACATGCACAATGAATCATACCACCACTAAAAGGCTACAATACAATAGTCGCCATTAACCTTTAGGTTGATTTTTTCCAGCAAATAGTTGCCATTAAATGCCTCATGTTTGTATAACTAACTATTCAAAAAATCTGTGTCGGTATCCTCTATTTTATTACCTATAAGTTAAAACAAACAAGAAATAGGAAAATAAAGAAATGAATGGCCAATTAAACACAATCTTTAACAAGAAATAACGTCTTGAGAACTCTGATAAATTCAGAAAGAAGGGCTTATTTATAGCACATTGACGTCTTATGCATATTTACATTATTTACAAAATCATTCTCCCTTTCAAGGAAAACCCCACCAGACATTGCAATGGACCACCACATTCATAAAAAAAATCACCATTATCAGAAATCACCCCAAAAAAAAAAAAAATCATATTAATGATCCCATACATCATAAGAATACCCAACTATAAATCCAGAATATGTGTTCCTATGCAAATCAAAATCAGTTACATTAAATCTCGATTTCTAATAGTAACGATAACTCCAAACAGTACCAAGTAACGACGAGTATTGTATAACCTGGAAAATCATTTTTCTTCTCGAAGATTATTTCAGACGATCTTCACAAACTGCCAACCTCAGATACAGATGTCCACTCCAAAATCTGCTATGTCCACTCTAACCTCTGCCACTATTGCTGTGGAAAGAAACGAATGTGGAGTGGAATTAGAAATTCGCAGAAATCAACGATTCCGATGAAACTGACGGTTAGCTTTTGCCAATTAGTTATTTCATCGGAATCTAACAGTTTTTCCCGTTTCTTGTACGGACCAAAATTTTGTTTAGAATTTTTTTCGTATATCCGCGACGATTTTGAAGGAAACAGTTTTAAATTCAGTTTTTCCTCTTCGAATGTCTGAAATTGCGGTTTTATCTGTGGCGATAGCTTAGGGTTTGGGCAATTCTTTTTTCCCCCAATCATTCATAAATTCAAGATTATTAACAAACAAAAATTGGAATAATAAGAAACACTAACCCTAGAATCGAATTGAAAGTTTGCAATTTGCGACTGATTCAACTTATTATATAGATGGGAAATAGGTGCATAATCTGATCGTAAAGATAAAGAAATTCATCGGAACGTTTGATTTTCGGATGATTTTGCACTAAATCTTCAGAAAATAGAAAAAAGATCAAACCGGGAAATATCTTTGTTTTTTTTTTTTGGGGAAAATGGAAAATAAATCCACAATATAATTCAAATAATTATGCCACATGTTTTATAATTTTAATAATTTATTTTTGCAAAATAAATAATTTAAATTTCGAAAACAAGCAAACTAATACAAGGTAGTTACAAGATTACGAGCAATACTCACCTCGTTAATTTCTTGTATCTTTGACAAAATATAAAATGAATCAATTGTCTCTCTCCTTTGTTAGCACCCTGTTGAAAATAACAAATGAAGATGTTCAAACCAATCCATAGAAGCAATAAATATAGAAGGTGAACCTTTTGTTTTTTGGGTTTAATTTTTGCAAGAAGAAATGGGGAATTTGAAATATTTTACAAAGGAGGAGTATTCAAGAGTCCAAAGACAAGTGAAAGCCAACCTCAATGCTCCTATAGTGGATTTTGAGTTTGCATAGTGATGGCCATAAGGCATGGCACTCAACTTATAAGGGGAAGAGAAGCGATGGTAAAGGATATGATTGTCAAGAGGATGATTTTGTACCAAAAGTTATAATATTTTAAGGTGGAGTTACAATTATTTATAAATTAAAAAGTTATGATCGATTTTAAAATATTGCCAATAATCACATAAAAAATAAATTTTAGAAGTCAAGTTATACCTTACAAAGAAAAAGTAAGGGTTAATAGTATTTTTGGTCTCGGAAGTGTATATTTAATGTTAGTTTTGTATTCAATATATCAATTTTGTTAATTTGATCTCTAAAGTACTTAATTTGTGTCATTTTATTCCTTAAATGACGGACTGTAAAATTTTTTGACAGAAGTGACCACGTGTCATTTTTTGTTCTTACATGAATGGACCATTAAGTTTTTTGACAGAAGTAATCACGTGTCATTTTTGTAGACGGTATCACGTGTCCAACAAGTGATTATTTTGTCAAAAACTTAATATTCCATCTATGTGGGTATCAAAATGACATGAATGAAAAGTTTAGAGACAAAATTGACAAAATTAATATATTAAAGACTAAACTGACAAAAAAATACATATTTTAAGGATTACAAGTGCTATTAACGGAAGAATTAATGTGACCCACGTAATCTGGTACATATGATTTTTAATTTGTCTCAGATAACGATAAGGGTAGCAATCTTAGCCTAATTGGTATAACTAATAGTTTATGACTAGTAAATTAAGAGAAGTAGTTTCTTAGATTCCTATTTTGATGGCAAATAGACTTATTGAACATGAAAACTGGTCGTTTCTCTGCCTATAAATATACAAATGACCATTCGAGTTGTGTATTATAAGAATAGNTGTTTTTTTTTTTTGGGGAAAATGGAAAATAAATCCACAATATAATTCAAATAATTATGCCACATGTTTTATAATTTTAATAATTTATTTTTGCAAAATAAATAATTTAAATTTCGAAAACAAGCAAACTAATACAAGGTAGTTACAAGATTACGAGCAATACTCACCTCGTTAATTTCTTGTATCTTTGACAAAATATAAAATGAATCAATTGTNTTGTGTATTATAAGAATAGAAGTCACGAGAGAGAAACTAATTTTTGTGCTACATCAAAAGGGTTCATGGATCAATTATCAAGTAATTCAAAGTTAGTGATTATAACTTTAGGTATATTGATTATGATATTTTTGATTCCGCATAATTGATATGTGAAAATTATTATTGTTCTACATTTTGGAATTACGGTTTGATTCATCTTTTGATCGAAATTATAGTTTACATGTTGAATTTGATGTTAATCCAATAATTCTTGTGAAGTCACATCATTATATCAGTAAATTAAGTCAAATTTTTAGAGAGCCCACGTAACATTTTTATTTTGTATGGTTAATTCTTACAATATTTTATGATTGATCATAAAGTTGTAATAGATATTCTTTTTTGTTTTTGAACTGTAATAATAGATCAAGAATATACATAACTTCTCTTTTGTAAAGTGCAATGGTGAATTTCAATACGTTCTCGGGAAAAAGATTCAGTACTATAGTCTTATCCTATATCTCAGTCAATCTAATGAGTCAAGTTGAGGTTCGATTGAATTCAATTTAATTTTGCATAAGAGTGATATTCGAATCATGTCTTATCAATACAAATTTATTTTATTTTGTGTTCATGGCATATTTGCATTGTGTATTTTTGAGTCATGTAATGTTTGAACTAACACGAATGATCTCGTGATTCGAAAATCCTAAGATTATGAATCCTTTATTTTAACTAAATCCACCACATATGGCTCTTTTATAAATAAAAACTCTAATTAATCCATCAATTTTTTTTGTTAGTAGATTGTGTAATTGTTGAATTAGTCTAGTGGTGAGCATGAATCATCGTATATGTCGTGTCGAAAAATAACTTTCATTTAAAAAAAAATAGCTCAAAATATATTCAGTCCTGCAGCATTTGACCGTGGAGTGTTATAGTGTCAAAATATATTTTTTAGTATTGTAACTTTATTTTTTTACCAATAGAAACGTGTTAACATATAATTTCTATCTTCAAAGATTCCTTGTGAGTTCTATATTATCAAGTGTGTCTTTAATTGCATGAATTATTTAGATCATATTTTGAAAGTATTTTTCATATTTAATTCATGTTCTTAAAATATGAAAGTTCCTAAAATATGAAGTTTGTCTCGTTTTAATCATCAATATTTTAATTACATTATTTTAGTCATTGAAGAAAACAGAGTCTAAATTGTTAACAATTTTTTATTATGAACTTGTTATGTAATACCTAAATATGGGTAAAAAAAATAATGTGGATAAGTTGTGACCAAATTTTTATCCAAATTTTGATCCAAGATCTACCCAAATTACACAATTTTTATCATTAATTATCCAAAATTTTGTCCAAAGCTACTCATATTACACATTTTTTGTCAAGAACTACCTAAATTTTGGTCAAGAGTTATTCAAATTATTTTTTGCCTATATTTAGATACTAGTTATTATTTATATCTAAAGGCACAGAGTAATAAAAAATGGTAAACAGTAAATATATTTGTATTCATATTCAAAATTAAATCACAAACATAGAGAAGAGATAAAAAAATTTAAGCATCAGTTTGTAGTGTGAGTGAGAGGTGGTGAGCGACGGTGGTAAGAGACGGTGATGGTTGTGGTGGGTGACAATGATCGTGGTGGCGGCAGAGATAGTGGTGGTGGTGGCAGCGATGACAATGGTGGCGGTGGTGATAACGGTGGCGACGGTGGTGGTGGTGAAGGTGACGACGACGGTGGTGGCAGCGACGGTAGTTGTGGCGGCGACGACGATGATGGTGGTGGTGGTGTCGAGTGGCAGTGGCGGTGGTGATGGTAGAGGTAGTGGTGGAACGGTTTAAAATACTATTTTTAAAAAAAATATTTATGAGAAATAATTTTTAAAAGTTCTTTTAAAAAGTCAATCCAAACACATCCTTAGAGACTTATTTTTTCTATTAAATTTAAGGTGTTAATATTAGCCGTTAGATTAATTTTAAAGTAAAATTTAAAGCGATCTCAACCGCGAATAACCAAAGTCATTTTATTTATCTTTTGGAATTTGAATTGTAAACTACTTTATTATATAGATAGTTATTGCAAGCGAAAAAAATCAACTAATAAAAATGAGCATTAACAAGAGAAAAAAGCGGTGCGTATAATGATAACAATAAATATCTAGAGTCGATGAATATATAAAAAATGTAAGGAGTAAAATCGGTACTCGATTAGACCACCCTACTTGGTGGTATGTGTTACTCAACTTGATAGGCTCAAACTAGGGGAGAAAAATATTTTGAATTTTAAACGAGTTTTATGATACATGTATTTTTTGAATATACTAGAACTTGACCTCAGGTCTGGACCCAAATTCAAGCTCGTAGTCGTAGTACACCAACAAACCAGACTGAGACAAGCCTAAGCATCCAATAGTTTGAAAGACTCGACTTAATTAACACCCTATCCTTAATTAGTTGGTGAGATACCACGTCGCAATAATAACATAGTACGAGGGTTCAATATTTTCTCCAGGGCTTGAAGTACTCCGAGAGCAACACCATTTAGAGGCTGGTGCTTCTTGGTCATTGAGATATCATGTTTTTACTAGTCACTGAATCGCTTTCATCAGGAACAATGAAACCCATAGATGACTCTCATTCGTTGTTTCTTCACTAGAACAAACTCGACTCTCTCTTTCTCTGCGAAACATATTTGGAGCAGAACCATAATCACTCGGCAACAAGGTGAACAAGGACAGATTACACGCGAGGAATTCTCCCAAAAAAAAAAGAAACNTTCTCTGCGAAACATATTTGGAGCAGAACCATAATCACTCGGCAACAAGGTGAACAAAGACAGATTACACGCGAGGAATTCTCCCAAAAAAAAAAAACAAGNCGAAACATATTTGGAGCAGAACCATAATCACTCGGCAACAAGGTGAACAAGGACAGATTACACGCGAGGAATTCTCCCAAAAAAAAAAGAAACAAAAAGAAACTTGCCAAACTCGTAAACCTTTTAGAACACGGGATAATAGACTTAATTTAGAGACTTAATTGTAGTAAGCTTAGCAATAAATAAAGTTGAATTGAGCATAACAAATTATGTCTTCAAATTAAGTTCCGGTATTAACTACAAGTAGCAGGACTATTGTCCACAAAATCCTTCACCTAATAACAAGCATTTTCCACAACAACAATCACTCAACATCATACCCTTTTTCTTGAATCTCAGAAATGACTTCATTCCTCATCCTCATCCACAGCTTCAAAGACTCTTGCTCAAATTTTTTGTCTTGCAACTCCTTCTGATAATTATAAGCGTCTTTGTCCGTCTCAATAATCCCTTTGGGGCCAATGGTCGTCCCTATCATCCCACCTTTTGCAATGAACTCCTTCATCGCCTCCTCGTCGCCCGGGTATGGAAACTTCCGGCGCTCATAGAGATGTGCCAACTCTTTCTCTTCCTTTGGCCTTATCTTTAGGTTAAACCAACCAAGCGGCGAAGTTTCGTTGTATAACCACGCAGCGCCGAAGAGAGTGTATGTGCATAGTAAGGCCTTTCCTACCTGCTTCCAGAAATGGTAGTCCTCTTTCCCTAAGCCTATTTTCTTCAGGTACTTCTGGGCGAAGAAGATCCCTAAAATATATTCAAATACATTACTTGTACAGTTCAGACTTTTCGTCGAACGGTTGAAAGGCAAAAATTCGAAAGAACAAAAAATATCACAAAATCGAATGGGAAATCATAGGATTCATTTCAATTTTGATCTAATTGATCGTTTGGAATGAATTCCGACACAAAGATTGTTGATTGTTGTGGAAGTAGTGAATTTCGAGTGCTTACCTGTTTTAGCTTCTTGAAGCCGTTTGCGAGCCATGGAAAGGAATGTACGAAAGAGAGAGAGAAGAATGGGTGAGGCTTAAGAATTTGATGGAACCCCTCGGCGGGCTGACCAGCCCAAATCAATCAAATCTACAATGGTTTGGCACCCAAAGCATTTACACCCTTAAAAGTTTGTACTTAATTCCCATTTAGTTCTTAAAATTCTAATTTTAACAATGAATTCCTTAAAAATTTAATTGAGTTTCAGTTTAATTCTTACATTTAAAATCACTAATTTATTATGACAAAATGGCCTTCCATGATAAACACGCTACTTGGATAAAGAGATGTAGTTGTCTAATGAGAAAGCTTTTGTACATAGGATAGGCTAGAAAATTCTTACTTTCTTTCATTTGATTTTTAATAAATTGAAGATAATCTACAAAAAAGAAATATATTTTTTTAGAGACAAGTAGGTCTTGCGACATCCTTTTATCCGAATAATTTAATAGATCCGAATAGAAAGCCTGATAGATCATCCCGGTGTATGGGTGGAGACTTCTCTTCTTATAGACAATAGGTTCCATTTAAATCCATGACAAGTAACTACAACTGACAAAACATTGAAATAAAATGCATTAGGAATAGGACATCTAATGCTATTCAGGTAAGTAGACTCAAGAAACCCTGTTTACATAGTCAGAGAACTATATAAAAGCATTTGAAATTTGGCCATTTTGGGTTGGTTCACTTTCAAAAACCTCTCTGATCTAATCCCCCCCCCCCCCAAAAAAAAAAAAAAAAAAAATGGTCCCCCTCTCCCTTTGTTCTCTATTGTTATGGATTTCAATTGCATACTGCAAACACATAATAAGAAGCAGGGCTATGGAAGAGACCTTAACAAGAGACTCGGTGTTTCCCACAGAAATTAAGCAAACAATGAAAGAGGCTGTATACACTTATTGTTGCATCTAGTTACCTCCATTGCCACAAGTGAGTCATTTTTACAGTAAGTACACAAACATAAATAGTCTGCTGTCTTTGTGGTGGAATTTAACTGTAAGTTTCATTTTCACTGAAGTTGAAGGAGAAAATAACTGCAATAGACTGAATTTTCAAGTAGAAGTGCAGGACAGACTTGCTTATATGGTGTGATCGGCTTCGCTCTTTATAGCCGGGAGAGTCCCCACCGACCTCTTATAAGTGTACCACTTAGCTGCCAATAGAAAAGCTCCTAAATTCAGCACACTTAACACTGCCAAGAGCCAGAAGAAATAATGGAGATGACCATAATTCAAGTTATCCGGTATCCAGCCTGGCTTCCCATCTCGAGTACTAATATCAGTGACAACGGTTACCAGTAGAGAGCTCAAATAGCTTCCGAGGGCGTTTGTGGTTAACGAGAGAGCCGAGCACAGGCTTCTCATGGAATCAGGAGCTTGTTCATAGAAAAACTCCAATTGTCCAATGAAGGTGAACACTTCTGCACAGCCTATAATGAAATACTGTGGAACCTGCCAAAATATTGATATGGGCACTTCCTTGACTCCATAGATATCATGCCTTTTCACAATGTTAAGCCTAACAACCTCTAAAATCCCAGCAGAGAGCATGGCAAAGATTGATATAAAGAGGCCAATGCCCATTCTTTGAAGTTGAGTCAAGCCACTTTTGTGGCCAGTGAATCTTCTGGTGACTGGAATGAGGATTCGATCGTAGATTGGGACCCAAAAGATGACACTGAGGGTGTCAAAAATGCTAAGCGACGCTTCTGGGATCTGGAAACTAGAATTGCCCACATAAGCATCCATGAAAGTTCCTTGTAATACAAATAAGTTGCCCATTTGTCCATAAACTGTGCTGAAGATGATACCAGTGGCCCATATAGGAAGCAATCGGATGATTGCTTTCAATTCCTCAACTTGGGTCACTGTGCAAAGTCTCCATGAGTCAACTGAACCCTTCATGTGATCTGATTGTATCTCCACTGCCGCCTTGTCAAAGAAACTGAAAATCATGACATTGGGTAAGATAAATAGATCATTAAGTACATTATTAAAGTTCTATTTTTTGCAGTTCGATTCATGGACTGAGGAGCTTGGTTTATGACACAATGTGGACTATATCATAACAAAATTATCTTCTGTATTTGAAATTGCATCACATTGTGAGGAATCCTGGCTTCGAGAGGAAAAGGAAATAATATTTACACAGATCAGGTGACTATCCATAGACTAAATACAGAACACCATCTTAATTTCATATCATTGCAATTTGACAGATATCAGCTGAGCAAGTCATTTGGGTTCAGGCACTTGCCTGAAATCATTAGTATGATCAAGCTTGCGGCTTCCAACTATGGCCGATTCTGCCTCTGCAGTCTCATACAAGAGGGAGTTGTCCGCGGGAACTCCAACTCGATATTTTCTCAAAGAAGCCACCACCACCTGACAAAGGCGAGTCAGAGGGCTGCCCCCAGGTTTCTGATTTCTATACAACCGAGTACCTGAAAAGAAAATCGATACTGCAACTGCCATGGCCACAGCAGGAATGCCAAAGCCCCATCCCCAACCAACGTTGTTTTGTATCCATACCAGCACAGAAGCAGCAATGAGTGCACCAATGTTGATCGAAAAATAGAACCAATTGAAAAATGAGCCCTTGTGTTTCTTCTCCACCTCGTCAGCATCATCAAACTGATCAGCGCCATACGAAGAGACACAAGGCTTAATCCCTCCCGTTCCAAGTGCCACCAGGTACAGTGCTGTGAAGCACACTGCACTTTGAGCTTCTGTTGGATTGCAATAGTCCTTACCATAACATCTTGGCTTTATGCCTGGGACTGATGCTGATAATGTCAAAAGTGTCATTCCCTAACCAAATCAGGAGATTCTCAGTTTTCCAAACAAATAATCTTTGATGTCAAACCAAAGTGTGCTCACAAATTTCGGATTAGAAGTTAAGATAACTGGCAAAACAGAAGTACTGTGAGAATTCAACGTTCAATTTTAATTTTTATCAAACACCACCTTACCTTTACTAGCACATGCAAAAAAAGTCAATTGGAATTCATGAATTCATCCCTTATGAGCCAAGATTTGTAACTTATTGTAAAATAGCTCATATCGAACTCCAACAAATTAGACTTACAATAACATATATGATTGAGAAGCAGGCAATGGTCCAGTATCTTCCCAAGTAGGCATCAGCAAGAAATGCTCCAATCAGCGGCGTGATATAGCATGTTCCTGACCAATTGGACAGATTTTTTGAAGCGGTAGTACTGTGCTGGTTGAGCTTCTTCGTGAAATAGAGAAACAAATTGGAGCTCATCCCATAGTATGCCAACCTTTCACTGCATTCGTTTACTGTCAAGAAAGATTACTTTTATCAATAAGTTTTTGTTCAATCATGCATGCACAAGTTCAACAATGTTCGTATATATAGAGTTGGATAACGTGTACCAAGGATATAAGGGCAGGCCTTCCAGGTTCCTGTTTCCTTTTTATTAGCAGGATTCTTTCGGTAATCTACCGTGCCATCTTTAGTGTAGATATCATCTTCTGCCATGGATTCCATAAGAGAGTACTTTGCTTGATTCTTGATCGTCTTCTTCTAGGGATTCATTCAAGCCTGGAACTCGAAAACGTGCCAGAATTTCAGCTAGAAAATAATAATACGAAACGAAACAACGATGAGAATCGAAGAGTTAGACATGTATCATCAACAATTGATAAGAGCTTGTATGTTGCAGGGTTAACTTTTCTTTTCCATTTCTCTTTTCCACTTTTTTTCTGGTAAAAGTCCTAATAATCACACTAATAAAAATGCAAATAAAGTAATCCTGTAGTGCAAATTTCTATATACATATAAGAAGTGATTTAGTTTACCTCTACATGAAATCAAAGTATCAAAGAAGCACAGTATGACCAGACTATAACGAATGAAGTTATCAAAAATAAATATTGCTGCAGTTCAGGACAAACATCAGGCCTACTTACCTAAATCTCAAATGATGACATCTGGGATGGTCTGCTTTATGATTTGAACATAAATGCATATTTCTCCACATTGATCACTTTGTCTATGGAAGGATAATGAGGAGAGAAAGAGAGAGAAAGAAAAGGCCGAAGATGGGATTAGGATGGATTTGGACAGGTAAGACTCAAACGGGAAAAGGAAAATTTCATTAAATGCTTTTTTTCGTTTCGGAGTTTTTCTGGCATCAGATTATTTGCAATCACTCGGTCGTCTACGGAGACTCGAATCAAGTATTACGGGAGAAAATCCAAATTCTTTACCAGCTAGGCCAATTACTATAGCGCCATCACATATCAATACAGATTTGAGACTGGAAGTAACTATCTATACAATATTGAGTATCATACATGTAACGATCATAGTAGGAATAGTCACTCTTTGATCCATTATTCAGATAACTAGAATTTCAATAACTATATAAAGAACTTTCTAGTTTACTCACCAGAGTTAAGAACGGTAACAGTAGAGAAAAAAAGGATGTGCATGAGAGACAAAAACCTGGTTCTGGTTCCCCTGATGACAAGAACAGTAACAAAGTACCAAGAAACCTCTGCTTCGTTCTTCGTTAAGACCCACAAGTACAAAGGCATTAGGAGTTGTTATATTTACGAAATTCCCTGCTCCGGATTGGTTTGGA